GCAAGGCAGCAAGGCAGCATTAGGCAGCAAGGCAGCAAGGCAGCAAGACAGCAAGACAGCAAGACAGCACAAGGTAGCGAGGCAGCACAAGAAAGCACAAGGAAGAACAAACAAGACAGCAAGACAGCACAAGGAAGCACTAGGTAGCAAGGCAGCACAAGGAAGCAAAAGGCAGCAAGGCAGCAAGACAGCACAAGCAAGACAGCAAGACAGCACAAGGAAGCACAAGGTAGCAAGGCAGCACAAGGAAGCAAAAGGCAGCACGGCAGCAAGACAGCACAAGGAAGCACAAGGTAGCAAGGCAGAACAAGAAAGCACAAGGAAGCACAAGCAAGACAGCAAGACAGCACAAGGACGCACAAGGTAGCAAGGAAGCACAAGGAAGCAAAAGGCAGCAAGGCAGCAAGGAAGCACAAGCAAGACAGCAAGACAGCACAAGGAAGCACAAGGCAGCAAGGCAGCAAGGCAGCAAAAGGCAGCAAGGAAGCACAAGCAAGACAGCAAGACAGCACAAGGAAGCACAAGGCAGCAAGGCAGCAAGACAGCAAGGCAGCACAAGGAAGCACAAGGAAGCACAAACAAGACAGCAAGACAGCAAGGCAGCACATAAAAAGTCAGAAGAAGAAGGAAAAAGAGAGGGAGGAGATGGGAAGGAAAGCAGAAAAGAAAGAAATGAGATAAGGGAAAAAGGAGCTAGCAAGGAAGCAAGCAAGCAACAAGCAAGGAAGGAAGCAAAGTGCTAATTTGTATTGGTTATTTACCTTGATGTAGATGATTTAATTGGCACAGGGATGTGACTACCATTTGACAAAGCCTCAAATGAATTGGAAAGAGCAATTTTGAATCCTTCTTTCCTGCAATAAAATAAAATCTGGGATTATTTTTCTATATCTTGTAGATAAATAAGCAAACTGGTCATGGCATCTTATATGTTTTATAATAATATTATTAGGATTCACTCTTTTGTCAATTTTGCAACACCCATTATTTAACCAGTGAATCCCCAAAATGTCAATCCGTTCATCTTTCAATTCATTTCATCTATCTACCCAATCATTCAAACATGTTTCCATGAAGCTATTTTTCCTTCCTGCCTTCCTTCTTTCCTTCCTCCCTTCCTTCTCTCCTTCCATTCCATTCCATTCCATTCCTTCCTCCCTTCCTCTCTTCTTTCCTCCCTTCCTCTATTCCTTCCTCCCTCCCTTCCTTCATTCCTTCAATTTATCCTTATATTTATCTGTCTTCAATCAATCCACTTAGAAATCTACTCTTCCTTGTTTTCTTCTTTCAATATTCAATCATTTCTTCCAACCACCTTCTATATCTCCAACCACCTTTTTTTCCTTCCTGTGTTCTTGTTTCTATCTATACCTCTATCTATCCTTTATTAAATTTGTTCAATTCTTCCCTCCCTCCATCCATCTATCCATTTACCTGTCCCTACTCCCTTCCTTTCTTCTTTTCATCTACATAAACTTCATTCAATCTTTTTTCCATCCACTCTCCTAATCCAACCAACCTTCCCTCCTTACTTCCTTCCTTCTTTCCATCTACCCATGCACCTATCCACTTATCCAACCATCTTTCCTTCCTTTTTTCCATCTATTTATCTACCCACATGTTGTTTATTCAATAATTCCTTTCATTCATTCATTTAATCATCAATCATTAATTCATCCGATCATTCTTCCCTCCTTTCTTCCTTCCTTCTTTTTATCTACTCATCCATCATCTATCCACCTATCCACTTCCCCCCCCCCCTTCTGCCATACATTATGAACGAAGCCTAATTATTATATCAAGTACTTACTGGAAATATTCCAAAGAAGGTGGCGATGCATGGTTGAATAAAGGTCCCTGAAAAAAGAATTAAGAATTTTATTGAATAGTGATTAAAAGTAAGTAATTTAGTTAAAAAAAAGCGATTGAGTGAACATTTGTTCTTTAGTTTCTATTGTTATTTTATATGTAAATCTAATTTATGTTTTAAAGCTTTGTCGTAAAAAGTAAGCTTACTGTACTTTAACAAAAAAATGGCTTCCCAAAGAACACTTTTGTCTTCAGAAAAATCATGCTTTTATGCATTTTATCTAATTTTTTTCCACTTATTAATAATCTACATCATAAAAAAAGTTATCTAGAATAATGAATATTCAACTTTTACCTTCTACTATGCGAAAAAAATGATTTTTTGAAGCAAAAATTCCTGTTTCAAATCGTTCGCTTTGACATTTTTACTTTTCTCTAAACACGCATGCGCTAAAGTCATCTCATTAATATTCACAATTTTGCGCATTTTTTTTGTAATAGAAACTTTGGAACAATAAAATTTTAATTTAATTCCAATAGATCTGATTATAACTTTAAAAATCCCATAAGTTTTAGTATATTTAAGCTCGCAACATTGTCTTGGTTTTGTGTGTGTGTGTGCTTTTTTTTATTTAAATAAAAAAATTAGCGAAAATTTTTACCTTTTTCGGGACTCTTTTATGCATGACGACTTTGCCAGATTTAGTAATTTGGCTCTTGGCTTCTAAACTAGAAGATTCTTCAGACTGGTTGGAGTTCTGTTCCTCGTCCTTCTGTTGGATATGCTTTCCTGGGCTATTGCTTTTTGTTCTTCTGGGTGGAGCTAGGGGAGCTAACGAGGCAGGGCGTCTCCCTTGCAGACCAGGACTTCTGGCCATGGTAGGCGGTGTTGGAACTAGACTCCTTGTGGAAAGATTTGCAACTCTTTGGAGAGAAGATTCTGGTGTTAGAACAGACCGGACTGGTCTGGGGATTCGGCTTTTAAATCTGTTGTTGTTCTGTGTAGATGAAGGAGTCTGACTTTCTACGGGAACCAAAGGTCGCACGGATAGAAACCTTGATCGCGATGTTCGAGGATGCGAAGGCGGGGTCGGTTTTCTTTCTTCTGACATGTTTACGCACCTTTGGTTTTGACTTAACTTATATTATTTTGTGTTCTAAACGATTTTCAAAAGCTTAAAGCTCGGAAATACTCTTTTTCAACTTGCGCAAAAAACGGCACTGTCAATCAGCTCAAGACGAAAAGATTCTGAAATTTTTAATTGGGTGCGTTGGTATGGTAACATTTGTTCTACGTAGCCTCCACCCACAGGTAGCCCAAACAATAAAATAATTCATCATACAATTCCAATTCATTTTATTTTTAAAGGTGTGATCATGTTTGTAAAACAATATTTTGAGTATATTCAGCCATATGACGATTAAAAATTATTAATGAATTTGATTTTAAATGCAAAAACAAAGTTTCCAACCAAAAATGACAAACCACAGGGATCCCACGCAGAGAAAACACCAAAATGCTCCAGGTGTTTAGCGGTGGGGGTGAATATAATGAGAAATACAATTCAATGCTTTCTGCTATGTTGAGAATGCGTTAGGCCATGAAAAGATAATAAGGTTTTTTGTTTTGACACGGTGACCAGTAAGTAAATCTTTTCATGCCGATTGGGATAACTGTGTCGACTATGGAACGGCTGAGCCCGCGATATTTCAGCGGTTTTACAACAGCGCAAAAAATATAAAAAAAATAGCCGAAGATAACACGAGACCTTTCTTCTTCGATGCCGAAAAAACTGTTCTTATTTCCACCGTCCAATACACTTGGTTTACTCTCACACTATAATCTCAACTTGTTCTTGTTTCTCAACGATTATCTTAGTCCTTTTATGCTGAATACAGCGATCCAAAACTGTTTTTATTTAGTCGTTGTTGCGTTGAAAGCCGGTGACTTGAGTTGTCGATAGAGATCTGATCTTGGATTATCCTCTTTCTTCCTTGTTTATGGACTTGGACAGAAATCTTTCCTGGTTTCATCGTAAGGTAAGAGATTCAATTCCAAATAAATGCATTTCTTATTCATAAAGTGGGGCTAAATTCTGCGTTTAAGAAACGGTTTAGATTATTTACATTTGTAGCGACATTCCTTCAAACGCGGTGAAAGGACGTCATTTTGAACTCTACTTTCTCTACTCAATAATTCTCGCAAAATGTTGATGCGCAAACCGTTACAACCCACCCCAAGGCTGTTTCTTTCCTTTTTGCTTTTTATCTTTCAAGACATAACATTCAGATTTGTGCATCTGGGATCGAGAACACGTCTTAGAAAAAAGAAAACGGGATTTTTCTTGGTGTAGCAAGTTTTATTGTATCCTGTTCGGCTAAGGTTTTTGTGTTGCAGGGTATATTATTTAACTCATAAATTCATTATCGTTGGCTAAGGATTAAAAAAAAAAAGAAAAAATGGAGCTAATATACATTGCCTTCATGCTTCGGGTGCCTTGCAGCACCAAGAAAGAATCGAAAAACAACTTTTTTCAATCAAAGTTGCTATATAGTAAGCTTATTACACTGTATATTTGTATATTTTTGTATTTTTATGTAGCATATAATAATGGCAGACAGCAATGACAGGTGATCATTTGATTTTAGGCTTATGTTTTTTTTGTCAACGAAAGTTGAGCCTGTATTTTAGCAGGATTTTGCGTCTTCAATAACGGAGCTTGCTTCAAGCTTGGATTCCTTCACTTTTTATAAGAGAGTTTTGGCCACGAATGCCTTTATTTTTTCATATCCACCTTGACGGGGAAAAAAAACCAAAACAATGAAACAACTCGGTTAATCTTACTTCCGTTCAAAAATTTTAAATTAAGCTTAAGCTCATATATTTTTAGTAAACTATGAAAACAATTTTCGAGGATTTTTTACAAAGATGTGGCCCTTTTTCAATAAACCCACTCACTCCTAGACTGTAAGATAGTCTTTCTTAACTTCAAAAATGTTTGTTTATGTATGAGTTGAAAGGCTTATCACAAGCTTCCTGTAGAAATTTTTTGGTGCTTTTAGATGTTATCTTTAAGTACTGTTTTGTGTGGCCTTAGGGTTGAAAGCTATCCTGTCATCTATGCCAACTATTCTTTGAGCAGGTGGTCGAACCAAGATTAGAGAGACTTGATATAAAATACATGTAAGAACACTCAGAATTGAAGAGCTTGGCTGTACTTTGTTATATTATAACATACCTATGTGTACATTTTATATTACAAAGTAAACATGAGTATACATGTATCAAATTGAAGTAATTAGCATGATTAGTGCCGTTTTATTCATATTGAATCAACTTCCATTTCCATGTAAGCTTATTTGATTATGCCCTAAATATAAAGAAAAATAAATACATGGAACAATGAATGAAAATTAACCGTGGATTCCACAGACTGGCTCTTCTTCCACTGGATTCCAATTGGAATTTAGAAGTTTAGATTTTTACTGAGTGAGGAAAACTTGAAAACTGAGGGTAAAAGCATTCAAAGCACAGAAGAGAATCAACAAGCAACTTACACTCACATATGACATTTAGGCCCAGCAGGACTAAATGCACACACATGCATGTACTATTTTTATACAAATGTATAGTGATATCTTTTTTTGTTCTGCTTTGCTTTAAATTTATAATTCATACTACCTTAGAAGTACAAGTTATAAATAATTTCATAAAATATTAAAAAGTCCAATACTGTAGGATAGCGAGCAGAAGCATCTTTTATTTATTTATTTTGTTTTATCTTTTATTTATTTATTTTGTTTGCTACACTACTTGGTATTAGAGAGTTTTAGATTGACTTTTTTTCTTCCCGCAAATGGCAAACATGAGGATGTTTTCATAGTTTTCCTGTATTTTACTTAAYCTTTTACAAACCTTCTCACCAAGYGCAAATACTCTTTTGTTTTTTTACTACTTGGACTTTTTTGCGATTCTTTTTCAGTAATTTAAAAGAATTTTTTACTGGTCAACTGACGTTTCACGTTCTATTATAAAAATATATATGTATACAATTCTCTATTGTTTGATTTATTGTACAAATTGCTGTGAATTTTTGCAGTATGCAGGGCAAGAAATTAACTTTTAAACTCACTGACAAAAAAAGCTTTGCAACTAAGTTTTGTTCTCACAAGTCACTAGCAATCAGATGCGGTGAATAAAGAATGTTACTTGATGCAGGTTTTAAGCGTTTTAGTCCTTCAACATCTGGACTGTTGTCCTACTTTCAAAACTTAGCTAGTAGAATTATTTTAATTCTAACTATCTTTAAAAAAATTTTCACTCGTATTTTGTGAGTTTGAGAGCATTAATTTTGTGCTTAATATGTGCCATCTATTTGGTGGTTTTGCTATTTTGGGATTGTTGGGTTTAATAATTTAATATGATCCATCTACAATGAAGCCGGCATGTTCTAGATACACTATTGACAGAGCCCACTTGCACAGTAGGTGTTCTCATGGATCCACACATCTTAGACTCTCTTGTATTCATCAATCATCTAGATCTGCTAATTTCCTGAAGAATAACCGGGTAGAAAGTATTATCCTGATCATAGATCATGTCTAAATTTAACATGTTTCAATAAAAGTTACATTCAAATCATAAACCTTTTTAGCAGTGTTTGTAGAGAACTCTAGCTGCATTTTAGAATCCACGTATAATAATTATAGAATCAATCTTTTTCATGTCTTGTTCGGAGAGGGTAAGGGGGGAAAGCCATAAATAGCATGGACTTGCTGGTCTCTAGGGAATTAAGCTCAAGTATTCGATAAAATATTGATACTTGCAGTGTTTGTGTAGCCTCATGTCCATGCACATTCATTATTAACCCACAGTTTGGTCAACCAGTAAAAATTGCCCAACTTGAAACAATTTCATAAGAAAATAATATAATATATTTTAAATCCTTGCAGTTTTGGTTTTCTTGGGTTGTGGAGGTTTTGATCACTTTTATAACAAACAGTGCTTATAATAATTTTTTACTGTACATGTACATCTCCAAAACTACATGAAAGCTAGCATACTACACTGTAAAGTCTAATTTAATCTGTCACTTAGTTTTGCCATATGACTGAAGACATCAGCTGTGAAGTTCCAGGGATGACAATCAAACTACTGTATTACATGTATCTTTGTTACAAAAAATAATAAAATAAGTAGACTGTCCTTGAGACACTCAAGAGAGCACATGCATGCAGTACTAATATGTGAACTCTTCTATTCTTTTTCTTTAAAAAATTTAAAGCAGTTTTCCATGTTTGATGCTCTGTTCAAAACATGCAGGATGCTTAGAATAGCATGAGAGAAACCATGACATGAAGTAGTCAAGCATTTGATTTTCAGAGTTTCAAATGTTATCATTATAGCATCCCAAGTGAATTGATCTGAGAATCAAACACATATTATAAAATATAATATAGTGAATATATATTATACCGTGTACTTCTGTAAGATACGCATAGCGCCATGTAAAGTCTGCTCAAATCGCATTGGCTCAACCTGTCTGTACTAATAAAATGCTAATTTATCACCTTAGCTTGGAAGATATGACAAGGCTCTATGGGAAAGAACCTTTGAAGAACAAGAACAAGAACAGGTTTGTACAAAAATACAGCATGCATAAACAATATAATGCATCCCCAGTTATTCCCTACGATTTGTATACATGTATTGTGTATGTATAAGCACTGGCTTTACACACATTTAGTTTTCCTGTGTGCTTAAAGAAGTTTTAGATTTTACAATATAGTAGTCTGACACAGGAAACTTTTTCAATTTCCCAAATGGGAACTTTGGGAAATTATTGGGAAATCACAACCCAAATTTGGAAAAATCTTGGGGATTTCAGAAAGGAATACAATTTTTTGCCAACCTTGGATTTTGTTGCATTTTCCCAATCATGGGAATTTATGTGAATTTCCCATAAAAGTCCCAAAAAGTACCCAAAAATTTGCCAGAATGGGAATCATAAAAAAATTTCCTGTGTGATGTATTGCCACATGCAGTAGGAAGAAGTTCCAGTGTTTATCAGAAGTCTTGCATCTACACCAGCCACAGTGTCTATTTCTATTTGATTAAGATCTTGTAATGAAGGCTGTTTCATTATATCTCATCTTCAGAGCTCTGTTATCATAACAAAGAAACCAGGAAATCTGAGACCAGAGCTTATTGATGTTGATTTAGTTGTTGGTAAGCAGAATTGAAAGTTACAAATAAACTCCATTCTACAGTACTTACAGTAGACTGAGATCTTTAGATCCGACTACTGTATGAGTACAAGAACATGTACGAGTACGAATTTTTTAAGGCATTTTCATTCTGTAGGTACAGTAGTGTAATTAATCGGAAACCGTGAAAAAAATATAATTCATGGTGTTAACCACATGCACAGGAAAAATTTTAAAACTATTACTCGTACCTGTTCTCATACTCATACTGGTAATTATAGTTGGATATAAAGGTCTAGTACATGTACATGTACACTGTCTTATACAGGGTATATGATGCTGGAATCTCTTAATTCAAACCACTGTTTACCACTTAATACATGTAGCTGGGCATTTCTAGGGAGGTAGACCTACAAATGGTCTCTTTCCATTGGTAGTTTAGGAGGGTGGAGATGGACGATTGTTAAAGTTTTTTTAGGAAATGACCCTGGGGAAATCTTGAATACTGTTAATCATAAGCATGGATCATGGGCTTGTTTTCGGTTCACTATAAGACCTACTAGTAGAGTCAGAGAGAGTGAAAATTTCATTTTCTGGGAAAAGTGAATTGTTGATTTTTCTTTTACATTCATCAATTGGTTACATGTTTAAATTAGTCTGCTTAATTCGGTTCATCTACTCTTTGGCAGGAATCTAAGTCGTTCTCTCTCTTAAGGGCTCTTAGCCCAGAGGTACATGTATAAAGGGTGGATAGGTCTATCTAAATAACTGTAATAATCCTTATCCAGATTGGATAACATCATAGACTTATGCACTGGATAAGGATTTAACCATTGGATAGCACAATCCACCCTTCGAACAACCTCTGGCTGGTTCATGCATTTAAAATTGATGAGACTGACTTTATCGTAAATACTCCATTTTTAATTACAGTTCCATTCAGTGACCACAAATAAAAGTTGCAAGCAAGGCTGGAGTTGCAGCGCATGATAAGCTGTTAGTTAATTTGCTATGCGCGGAAACTCCAACCTTGACTTGGAACTATTATTTGTGGTCAATGAATTGAACTGTAAAATGGAGTATTGTCATTATTTTGTTAGAAGTGTTTTGAACAATTAAAACTGTAAATTTGTATAATTCATGTATCTGACAGGATCAACATTTCACAAAGCCAAACCAGTGCACACATGGCTTGCTGTTGCCAAGAAAGGTCTTCTTAGAGTTATATTTTATCCTTATTATCACTCCTGGTAGGTTGATTTATTTTTAAAAAAACCCTTTGAGTAATGTAGTTACAGAAATAATCTATACCCCCCCCCAACGGAAGAGTTTTTTTGAACACCCCCTCTACCCCCAGAATTTCCAATTTTCTTCCATACAGACTCTCTACTGTAATTTTTGTTCTTTCTCTGACCTCGATCCCTACCCTTTGGAAATTCCAAATTCTCTGTGGGGTGGGTTTGGATCATTACTGGTACCTGACACAATCTCAACTACTCACATGTAAAATAATATATGTATAATTAATTATATTATACACACATTTATTACTGTGTAACTGTACATGCTGTAATTGGGGCAAAAATGTACACAATGATTTATCTTGCCCAAAATTTCTTCGCTCTCATACACCTGCTGGCAATACTTTTGATAGTGGACATCACATCTCAGGATTTTAAAATAACTACATGTATTGCTTGTCATCAAATACAGTACATCATGCTTTACAGTACCTAGAAATATAAGATGCTATTTGAATTCATTCTTCTTTCAAATCAGGTGGAGGCAGCAAACATCTCCAAAAATATGGCTACTTTTCCTGTTTCTCTATTTCTTTGAGATCTTGGCTCTAGTTATTTATTTTTTCAGTAGTTCTGACAGTATTAAGGTAAGGATTAGTCGAGTGAGGCATTTAACCAGTGAAAGAAAAAATGTCAAGGTGAATGTGTAATATAGTCAAATATTCTGACGGTACGTAACGTCTTTATTAATTACTTGTTCTGTTCACAGATTGTATCATGGACAGAAGTCTATGGACCAGCATTGGTAAGTTAATTAATGCACAGTATGGAAATAATATGACAGTACAGTGTATATTATGTGTGCGCTTATTGGTTAATTGGAGGTGAATATTGTACAATTATATTCACCTCTGAATCTCGGAATATTGAGTAGCCAACAAAATGGCATCTGCCGTTAATCGTTTTGCTACAATTCCCGTTGAGGAAATTGAAAAAATGAAAGTAAATGCCATTCCTATCAATACTAAAAAGGCAACGAAGTATGGCCTAAAAGTGTTGCTAACAGTTTTGCTAAAAGTTTTGCATGAATTTGTCACACAAACTAAAAGTTTCTGTACTTGTTTGTTTTTATTGAAATATTGTATATAAAAATAAGTTATTCTGTACACAAGTTGGTATATGCTAAAACAATTATTCGCCTCAGGCTCAGTGAATATGGAGAATATTTACCTCGCCGCTCCAAGACTCGCGTCCCAGAGATCACTTCGCCTCGGCGAATAAGAGTTAATTATACAAAGAGAGGACATGATCATCATTAAGATTGTTAATAAATTATAATAATTACATGTATCATTAATAAAGTTTTTTAAAACGAAAAAATAAATAAAAATGTTAATTTTTTTTTTGTGGCTGTTGATGAACACTGAGTGTACAATATGTAATTTTCACTCTTGAGCAAAATTGGGACGTGATGTTACCTACCTACAGTATTGTCCTCATGCCTCATGGACACATAGCGCCTTATTTTGAACTGCTATCATCATTTTACTCCTCTTTCACTCCAGGATTGAATTAATGAGTGAATTTTTCGTAAACGTCTTAGATAATGGTCCTATTAGGAACTCTTCATTTTCACATGGTGTCCACTGATCATGCTGAAAACATCAGACGAAGTAGAAAAACAAAACAAATTAAAAAGTAAGTCAGAACAACATTAGTTTTTTAAGCTGCTTGCCTTGTTACAGCACCCAGTGAGCCCCTCTCAATGTGACTGTACAGCTGATGGCCTTGCTCCATGTACTATTTCATGTGAATGAATAGGCATCAGTATGGTGCTATTTTCACTAAATGTGTAGTTCCAGAAATTATCTATACCCACCCCACAGAGGAATTTGGAATTTCCGAAGAGTAGGGGGGTCAGAGAAAGAACTGAAATTACAGAGTTTGTATGGAAGAAAATTGGAATTTCTGGGGGGTAGGGGGGTGTCTAAAAAAAGTACGGTACAGTACAGTACTCCTGACAGTTTTTGCATGCATAGCAGGGTGACATTTGATTTATTTTACAAAAATATTTAACATTTTTGTTATCTAGACGTCGTGTAAGCCGGCCAAAACGAATGTCTGATAAAAGTGGTTCACCTCAAGCCAATGGTAAAGATGTAAGCAATGGGTTACCTGTTTATGAGCACAAGAGTGAAGAAGTGCCTAACAATATAAGAAAAAGAAAGGTGGCTCCAAAAGGAAGTGAAGAAGCACAAGGTATTTAAGCTACTGCAGTAGTAATACAGACAAACTGATTACTAACCTTATTGCATGGCCATGCTGGACACTATAATCATGCCCATGCTTTTTTTTAAGTATTTTCACTGGTCGACTGGATTCAGTCAGTTAGTAATGTTCACTTACTTTTGACATGCTACTGAGATGTACAGTACAGCATTGGGTAACTTGATAGCTATAAATAAATATATCTATAATATGTCTAGTAGAAAATGTGCCCTAAAATAGATGTCCTCATACATGTAGGCTAGTATTTTTGGGTTCATTATTGGTAGGGTTTGAACAGGGTGTCAGTAAAGTGTCAGTAGGTCCGTCATATGCCCCCTGGATGCCTTGCGATCCAAGATGGCCACCATATCGTCCAAGTAGTCCATTTATCTGTACTCAACTGGTAAACATTGAGACATAGTACACTTAATTTGAAAGCAAATTATTGAGCTTTCCCTGATCAACTATAGAGCCTTGATCACAAATCATGATCAAATCCAAGGGGCAAATAAAGCTTCGTTACAGTAATGACACCATTGATTAATTGAGGGAACAAGAAACAATTTAAACTCCAGAATTTGTCACCATCCTGTCATTCAGCATCGGAAACGTGATTTGTGGATTTGATTTAAAGTCTGTCTGGGTATGGCCTTGGTTAATGTAGCTGCACTGTGACAGTAAAAATAAATCACTAAAATGTTAATAATTGAAGTCATAAATTTCGCTGTCCATCCATCAAGGTACGACACAGCCTCCAAATGATGGAATAAAGTTTTGTGATTTTGGCTCAGTGGAATCCAAGGAGCAAGAGCATTCAGAGGATGATGCCAGCGAGAGCAGTGATTCTACTGCAGCATCGACAAGTGACAGTGATGTGAGTGATACAGTGGAGATGGAAAGTATTAATGAAGAAGATCCCTTTGCCTGCGTCAAGGTACAACTACTATAATTGTAACATCAGATAACATCAGCTATTTGTATGATAGCTACTGTATATTGAATTTGTAATTATTTTTACAATCCAACCTACCTAGATTTAAGTCTTACTATTTGCTGGTTGATTAGCCTGCATAGTGACCCAAATTGGAAGGGGTTGGGGGTGGGGGGCCTGTAGAGGCCCCACCCCTCCCCCCCCAATTTGGGCAGCTACGCAGGCTACAGATTAATGGGCATTTCCAAACCAGCTATAAATAAATACAATTTATAATTCATAATAAAATTTTGATTACCTCTTTACTATATATTTGAATGATGCAATCATTTTGACTTTCAATAGAACCTTTTACCTCGAGCGGAATGTTAAGTGTCATTCCCTAGAGTATAATTTCTTTGTTTAACAGTTGTGCATGAAAAGGAACATATGAACAATGAATAAAATTTGAAGAATCTTATTCTCAAGAGAATGACATGACATTGTGCAAAAGCTAAGGTCACATGGTACACATTATATTACTGTAAATTTATATAATCTTGCATTGAGATTGATATTGAACCATTACCAATTTGTTTATTTATAGAAAATAGACCAAATTGGAGATGAGACTACCCCAAACCTACCTACTGCTGAAATAGGTAACTAACCTCACTCTCCTGATTGTTGGAAGTCAAATGCCACGGGCAGACCCAGGAAATTTTTAGATTGACATCCACCAAAACCTAGTACTTACAGTACATGCTTTTAACTGCAGTAAAACTTCCAGCTGAGCAGTGAATTTTGTTTTAGCCAATCACAGCATGTTTAGCTGTTTTGCCGTCGGCCCTCATAATTCCCAGGCTACTGTAGTCCAACTTTTGAATGTTTTTTCTGTTTTCTTTTGGCTATAAAATATATTATAAAATATGCATGCCTACAGGAAGCAGAAATATGGAAAAGGAAGGATAAAAACAATTTCACTTTACTGTGCGCCATGTTTTTTTTCTTTCAAGCTCTTTTGTCTTTTTTCTTTCAAGCTTCAAAAGGCTAGTAATTATTATGGCTGGTCATGTTGTCCACTCAGGCCAATCAAACATGAATTTCAATGTCTAACAGTCATATATTAATATATTTTTTTGTGAGTAGTGATGGTTTCTGTTTGGGAAGGAGAGCAGTGTAAGAAGGCACACATGACCTTGATGGAAATCAGTGCTGCTATTGTAAATAAAGTGGTAAGCTTTCTGTTTTAATTATACGGCAGCTATCTTGAATTACGGAATACAACAAATGTAAAAACTTTATATTAGCATTTAGTGGTGGTGTTACTTTTTCAGATAATATGAAGTCTTGGTGTTTTGCATATTGCTCCAACTATACCTAACTGGCAAATTCAATTGATGCTTTTTATTATTATATGATACAGTCGATCCCAAAAACGTTGTCCAAGTGAAAAGAGGTTTATAGGACAATAAAGTCACGTGTCTCATTAAATATTCAGTTTTACGCGCGTGTGGAACTAGGAATCTGAACGTGCTGCATCATATGCGTGGCAGAAAATGTCGACGGCGGGTAATTCAAAACAATTTCTTTCGACTTTAGAAGTTCGGGTTTTGGACTCCAAGAAGAAGTCTAGCTACGTTGTAAGACGTTTACCCAATTTTCCAGTGTTAGAGATCGTTTCAGAGCTACGTTCTGAGCTAGTGAAAGCCTTACCAGACTTAGAGAACGTTCTGCAAGACTGAGTAATGAGCAAACCAATCTGCACGTACCATACCTTCTTGCGCGTGAATCCAAGCCTGTGGACCGTTCTGCATAATGTTTGGGCACTAAAAGCAGAGCCAGTTGTATTGAATATTTTCGACGCTATTTCATTCAATTGCATTTCAGGATGTTCTAGAAGACACTCGATGACGATATACTCTTCATGCGGAAAAAGTGTTCCTGTTTGAAGAGGTCGACCGACGGGCCAAGGATTAATGTCTCCACTAGTGTAGACGTCCGTTTGACCGTTTTAGGACTTAGAAACAGATTAGCGGCCATCTCCTGGTATGTTTTTGCATAAAACAAATGTTGGTATACCATTCTCCACCTTAAATCATCCGAGAAAGCCCGCGGCATCTTTCAGATTCAGTTTTCAATACTGTAATTTACTTTTGCATCAGTATGCTAATTTAAAAAATCCACGCGCGTAAAACTGAATATTTAATGGAACACGTGACATTTATTGTCCTATAAACCTCTTTTCACTTGGACAACGTTTTTGGGATCGACTGTATAATCATTGATGATTATGGTGGAGATGATGACTCGTGATAGTGAAAGTGATTTTGATGATGATGCCTATGTGTTGTTAGTGATGATGATGACTCATGATGTTGATGGTGATAGTGATAGTGATAGTAATAGTGATAACGATCATGATGATGATGATGATGATGATGAAATTCTCAATGATTTGTTCAAAGGAATGATTACTGTTAGCATAATCATTGTCTTTCAGGACATGCACAAGGGTAATAATGGCTACATACACTTCAGTTGTTTTGTTTCTATTCTACTTGGCATTGTACCACTGTTATTCAGGATCTATGAAATGAAGGTGAGGAACGTAACATACATATAGGCCACACTTTTGGGTATTATGTGTTGACTAGAATCAAGGTCCGCGACACCAGAACGATGACAGGAGTACATTTCCAAAATGATTTTTCATGTACACGCTGTTGCCCTCAGCATTGCTGTCCTTGCTAGGACTTCAGTTGAAGCTTTTTCGCACTCTAGAGAGAACATAAAGAAGCAATAGGTTGCATGCGTGCATAAAAACCATTTTAAAAATCTGCTCATGTCATCATCCTAGCGCTGCCGTCCTGGTCCTGCCAACCTAGTCTCCCTCGCATCCGTTTTTAGTGTCGGTCGTCACGCAGGGAGCGTTGCATTTGTTTAAGGTCTTAATACTGAAGGGAGCATAGAAAAATGTTTATACAGATATAGAAAGAAAAAGATGTGTTGTTGCTCTTCTTTGTAAAGCTAGTTGCATGCGAGCATGCATAGTGTCAGCACTGCACAATTGTGCTTTGTTCAGTAATTCTGAACAGTTCTAGACTAATCAGGGTTAGCATATAGTAAGGTGTCTATTATATAATTGTGTCACATATTTCCTTTAATGCAACAATGATATTTTTCAGTAATTAAAATAAATGTATTGTATTAACTGGTATCAATTATAACTAATCATATTCCTTTTTCTAGGCCTTTTCATCATACACCTCTGAGGAACTGTTCAGTGCACTGTTTGGCTACACTATCTGGTTAGTAACTCAATCATGTCTAAAACATTGTCATAAAAAAATAAATATTATTCCTCCTAACTCCAAGCTAGCTTTTTTAAGTCTCATACAGATCTCACGCGAATATTGTATATTACTTTTAAAATGTGTAAATCAATGCTTCTTTTTTAGAGTAACAATTTTAACATTAAATGTAATTTGGCCGAGATATTTCAAAGTCAACCTTACGCAAATCAGGACGAATTCTGTATCAGGGTTTACAGATGCCTTCACGGTAGTGATTTTGTATTGTTCTAAGGTCATTAATTAGTATTCATGATTTTTTTAAAGCTTAAAAATGCTATATTCATTGCCACAAGTACAGCATTGGCGCAGCTGAATGGGGTCAAATTGTAAGCAATTATTGATGAGATAATGAATGCTTATTCTTACCAGGTCAAGGATTGTAGTGGTGGTTGGTATTTTAGAGAGAATCGTTCTGTGCTTTTCATTTCTATTTCTTCTGTGTGTAGCAGAACGCTCCTACAGAGAGGTGAGTACAAGTTAGAATAACTAAAAGAACCTGTAAGGAGCTAGGCAATAGCTGTTATTACAGTCTGCAATGAGATATTGTGTGGTTCCAGAAACTATCCATACCCAGTACCCCACAGAGGAATTTGGGAATTTCCGAAAGGTAGGGGGTCAGAGAAAGAACAAAAATCATAGAGTTTGTATGAAAGAAAATTGGAATTTC